ATATATATATATATATATGTATTTATTGAAAAGCATGGTATTATACATTATGACATTACATTATGTTTTCTTCCAAGTGTTTTAGAATGGATTAATGTATGATGTTACTGATTCATTATAAACCATTTTTCGGTAGCCACACAACAGGTCCTGTGCTCGTCTTACCAAAATATCAATTTAATTAGAAGAAAATTACGAACTGCAACGTCCTACTAACATTACTGGGATCCACTATGGAGCACGGTACACAAAACACCGACTTTTGATGTGTATTGTTGACGTTTGTGTAATGTAATCTCTAAATAAACTGTACTAAAATCGCTATATATTTTTAAAGCACAGTAAAAATATTTTTAGTTTGGTATGCCGAAAACCTTGGTCTTTGATGCCTAATAGAATCCCTATAGTTAAGACCGGCACTCAACAGGGGTCAAGTTGGAAGAGCTACATCCGGCAGATCCGGTTTTAATGAGTTTTCTTAAGACCTCTAACAATATTTTGCTTTGCAGGGGTATAAACATTATGATTGCACTGACTTCTGGAAGATAGTTACAATAGTAAAAACTTGCAAAAGCATGCAAATATCATCATGAATTTGAAGGAGATCGTTTATTTCGGGAGATTTTTGCGTGTTCGCAGCAGTGTAGAAGGCCTTCCAGCCGATTTCCAGGAGACTCCATTTGGGGACTCTGCAGGAGACTTGGGACTCCTGGGCACTAAATGTGGTCCTTATATTAATTTAAAAAGAGTAGGCCTACAATACCTATGTTTCAAAATGTATGTACAATTACTGTATGCTGTTAGTTATTTTAATAAAACATTTCTTGGTAGCCGTGTCATCAACTGGTCTTTCCATTAAGATATTACTAACATTTCCACTAATATTATCGTTATTCAATATACTGTACACAAAACATTGTAAATAAAACAGTGTATTGGCTAATATCTCTATGTGTAAGTCATATATATAACACAAATTATTACAGAAAAAATTGCATTACCGTCACTATTTATTTTATAGTGGTCTTTAGTAGTTGAGAAAATATTCAATTGGGTCTACCAAAACCACGGTCTTTGGTCTCTAATTAAAGGCAATCTTTAATATTGGAGGGAACAGCTAATGATAAAAGAAAGGCATTCAACTGGGGCCACAGAAAAGTGGTCTTTAATTGGAGGTGGTCTTTAATTAGAGGGGTCTTTAATTGGAGGGAGACCTGTAAAATAATAATACGTCAAAAACACTGGTGCAAACGATTGATTCTCCCGAAACCCCACTGAGGACCATACGCAGCGCAAGCTTCGGAAAAAAAAGGACCCGAAGTTGCTACTGCAATCGGTAACCAACACAGTAATGAGTTGACATGCAATAGTCGTGATAAGGTCATCTACATTGTATATACTCATTTGAATAGTGTGGATGCCCCCTATGTGATGACAGACAAAGTTGATAAAGCAGTTTTACCTAAGAACACAGAACAAGCGATCAGTCTTGGACACGATGCTATCGATTGGCAGCGAGGCTTAAAGATTTACTGTCACTGCACAGGCTTCCAAATTAAAAACAAAAGATGAATAGAAAACATTCTAATGTTGGCCTAGTTAACTTACATATGAAAAACATATACACGACAAAATACTTTTATTTAAATGTAGGCCTTACCTAATGAAACGGAGGGAAGAAAGATAAGTTTAATCACAATCATGTAGAATATTATGACGTCACTGATGACCAAATATTTGACTTGTGTTGAAAAATAGCAAACGTAGATATTTCTAATTGTTATCACGAGTACATAGTACGATGTATTACGACGCAATTCTTCAGTTGATGAAAAATAATTCCTGATAAAGTAGGTCTATTAAGCCAAGTTAAAAGGAAGTCATGTTCCAGTGATTTCAAAGACGCTAATAGGAAGTATACCAGGAATCATACAGTTAACCTTGTAGCGTTCCGCATCCTCCCACAAGTTATTTTCAAGGCTAATCATATATTGCAAATAATATTCCAATTCAGAGGGCTTCAGTAAAGATGGGATTACAATATTATTTTGATTTCTCAAAAAAGTACATCAAGATTCAATTTCACTGTTCCCTGATTATTTTATTGCCAAAAAAACAAAAAAAAAAACAAAAAAAAAACACCGAAATTCTGTTTGGGTGCAACCCACTTCAATACATACAGATACAAAAATATTTACAAACATCGAAAATATAACAAGAATAGCAAAAACGTAACCAATAAAAATGAAAAAAAAAACCAAACATATGGCCTATGTATATATATAAATGCAGTTTAAAGAGACAAGTAATAAACATTAATTTAAACATTTCAGTTATAGTATCTTATGGCAAAAGGTATGAATGAGTTGAGAAATTGTAAGGTACAGCATTTAGCAGACATAATCTCTTTCATAGCCATTTAATTTCATTAAAGATTGGGTGGTTTCTATCTTTTAATATTGCGATGGTTTCTTTTCAGAATAATCTCGCAAATTTATACAGAAGGCCTTAATATTAATCACTCTGCATGCAAACCTTCTATCAAAATTCATCTTCTTAAATGATATTGGCTATGTTCACACACGGCTGCTAACGGTTAGCAATATCCGGA